ATGGCAATGTATGAACACAGGTGGACCCACCATTCTCCGGAACGTGCAGTTAAAAACGCATGCAGAAACCAGAGGGAAATAAACAGTTTGTTTTGATGACAGGCTCAAATAAACTCACAAAATTCTTTACAGTTTCAATGTTTTTAAATTAACTACAGAAACCTGAGACCAGGGACTCTGTTTCTTCCTTGGGCTTCTGTTCTGAGATGAGCCTGCTTTATTTTCATTTTAAAAAATGTATTTATTGACTTTATTGGGGTGACATTGGTTAATAAATTATACAGGTTTTAGCTGTACAACCTTATAATCCATCACCTGTATGTCCTGTGCTCACGGATTTTTTTTTGACAAATGTATTTGCATGATGACTTACATTGGGGTTGGAATTCTGACGTTAAATCAAAGTGAATTTTTGGCTTCTGTTCAGGACACCATGCATCATCATCTCCAAGGCAAAGATATGGACTGAGATCACCAAACCAGGCTAATAAGGATGATTAAACTTTTGAATTCTAAGTTTCTGGAGGAATAACAACTAGTCACCATTTACATGTTTGCATGCCCGAGGGTTTGCAACTTTTTTGGAAGCTGCTATTATGTGTGAATAACAGCAAGCGTTGTTTAAAGCTGCGGTGAGGCCTGGGCATATGCTACTCTCTTTCCTGGTGCTCACTCTGCGGATGTGGTTGGAGTTTGGGCTCTGGGTCCGAGGCCAGCAGAGGTGGGGGTGGGTGGCATGCCACAGGGGCTGTGCATTTGTAACCAGACCGCCAGGGGTCCGGGCCTCCTGTCACACCTGCGCCAGTCCGGCAGAGACGGTGAAGCAAGGAGCGTGTGCCCCAATCCTCCGCAGCGTGGGAGAGCAGGGGCACCCACAGAACTCTGCCCCCCCCCCCCCCCCGCCGCTGCCACACTGGGAAGAAGGACGAAGGTTGCAGGGGAAGGAGGCAAAGGGTGTGCCAAATGGGCAGTTCGCAGGTCCTGGGGCTGGATTTGCAAAGGCCTGTGGGCGAGCAAGGCCTGTGGGCGAGCAAAGGCCTGTGGGCGAGCAAAGGCCTGTGGGTGAGCCGGGCTGGGCCTCCAGAGGGCCGGGGCTCTGGCTCGGCAGCAAGGTTGCTGACCTTTCCATGCTCCCAGGAGCTCCCGGAGGGAGGGGGCCCTGCAGCGCCCACCAGGTGAGCCTGCACCTTCTGTGCTCAGAGCAAAGCAGCCCGGCCACAGACAGGACTCCGGTCCGCAGTCAGAGCCGCCCACACTCTCTCTCTGCCCGTCAAAGGGTCCCCAGGAAGTCAGGGTCCAGGGGACAGGTGCCCGCTCAGCAGTCTGTCTCGGACGATGGAACCAGAAGCCTGGCCTTCCTCGGGGCTGGGCACAGAGCTGGAGAGAACTCTCAGGACTCGCCCAGCTCACAGTTGCCAGCAACCCGACGTGGCAGTGAGCACTCAGGAAACGTGGTTCCCACACAGCAGGCGTAAGGGATGGAAGGAACCCCAGATGAGAGGGTCGTCATCATGCAGGACTTCTCCTCACCCCTCTTCCCATGGATTTGCCTCTGAGCCTGGCCAGCGGGGCTCAGCAGCTGAGCATCGACCTCTGAACCAGGAGGTCACAGTTCGATTCCATCAAGACCCGTGCCCGGGTTGCGGGCTCCATCCCCTGCACGTGGCGTGCAGGAGGCACCGGGTCCGTGATCTCTCCCCCTCGCCCTTCCTCTCTGAAACCAATACAAGTAGATTTTTAATATTTGCCTCTGGGATGTGCCACGTTTTCTGCCGAGAAGGAAATGTGTTTCCGTGGCAGCACCAGGGAGCAGACTGGCCTTGCTGGGCAGGTTCTTCCTCAAAATTCTGTCTGGACAGTGAAGCCCCAGCACCCAGCACCCGCTGCCTCCTCCTGGGAGCACGGGGAAGTGCCAAACCTCTTCCAGGCCTGGTGGCTGGGATCCTCACTGTGCCAGCTGAGCGGTGTGCCCACAGCCAGGCCCTGCCCGGCGGCTGGCAGGTACGTGACCAGCTGACGGTGCCATTGCTTCTTGGCTGCTGCTCGGGGGGAAAACTGGCTGAGAAGAGGTGAAAGCTGTTGGCAAAATGTAAAGTCTGGGCTCTTGGTCAAAACTCAGCAAAGATAATCCTGACTTGGCTTGGCTTCTGCGTGTGTGTGTGTGTGTTCACTGCTCTGTCACACATTTTTAACTGTCATCAAATGAAGATGAAACCCGGCCAGAGGTTCGTTGTGAGAGAAAGCAGGTGGGGCCCAGCTAGGATCGTAAGAAGCATAAAGCCTGCCCGAGCCCGGTGTCTCGCTCTGATGGGGGAGGCGACGCTAACCGGCGGGAGCTGCGGGGGAGCTGCGATTGTCTCGGAGACGCACACCCTGTGGCAGGACCCGGAAGCAGCAGCTCTTGGAAGACCCAGCCCTTTGCTATCACTAACCCTTCGGGGGACATGTGTGTGCAATTCACCCTCCTTCCCTGTAACCTCCGTCCTTCTACCCCATGGAGCAGCAGCTCATGGGAGGGGGACAGAGTCTGTGGGAGCCGCTGCGAGGATTGGGGCACACGCTCCTGTGCTTCACTGTCTGCCGGACTGGCGCAGGTGTGACAGGCACAGACCGCCGGCCAAGTGCAGGTTAAACACCGCGTGGCCCAGGGGGAGATGCTGTCGCTGCTGCTGGTGCTGATTGAACCTCCAAGATGACGTCGTCGTGTCTCAGCTGGGAGTGTTCCCACGCCCGGCTTCACAGTGTGTGGTCTCTTCCAAGACCCTTTCAGACGCTGTTACCCTCCTGCAGGCTGAGCCGCTGCCAAGCTCACGCCGTGAGCCGCCCCTTTGGGCTCTGACTCGGGCCATCCAGCTCCTAACGCCACTCCCGGCGAGATGCCCTCCACTCCCGCCACCTTCCGAGTGGAGGCGGATGCCTGCCCACATCCCTGCACGCCCCAAGGAGGCAGGACCAGAGCCCCGATGCCACGCAGGCGCCGCGGTGGGCGGCCTGGGTACCCAGGCCCAGTGTGTGGGCGCGGACGTGCTGGGAGTCTGTCCGGGGGAATCTCCGAAGGGCCGGGCCTCTGGGGCCCTGGCCAACGCGGCAGCCCCTGCCTTGACTTTTCCGATCAAATCTGAGCGCCCCCTGTTGTACTAGATTCTTTAGACCAGAGTGTCCTTGCTGAAAGGGCGCACGTGTCTTCTCAAGGTGCTGCCTGCTGAGTGTCTAGAGAGTTTCCGTTCGCGCTGCTACTACAACAAAGCCGGAGGAGGCAGCGAACGGCTCCTGGTCTCTGTAGCTGCGGCCCCTTAGCCCTCTGTCACAGACTGGGTCCATCCTCACCCATCATCCCTCAGGGTCTGTCAGCCTGGCACGGAGCAGGGCTGGATGGGCCCGAGCCCTGACCTGTCTGAAGGCAGGGGAGGCAGTGGCTGGGCAGTGGGACCCTGGGGATTTGGGGCTCCCATCCATCTGGCCGTCACCCCATCCTGATCAGTGTGCCCCAGCCTGGGACCATGCTCAGTTTCCCAGTCCCTTCCTACCACCCTCACTGTAATCTATTCAAGCCGGGAGGGTCCATGGCACAGGGCAGCATGGTCAGGACTTGCTGGGCCTGAGAAACCAGGATGGCAGTGCACCTGCTTCTCCGTGCCTACCAATTGGGGGAGATGCCCCTCGCCCCGCCACCCCCCCCCCCCAATCGCTGTATGGTGTATGGCCACAACCCAGCATGGATGGAGCCGGTAGGGATGAAGGGGGATCGATGCTTGGGGGTGGGGGAAGGGTCCCGCCGACATGGCTGTTTCATCTTCTCACCTCCCGGCCTTCACCCCCCTGGTGAGGCCCTGGCCCGGGACAGGCAGGGACCGGCTCCCCACGGTGGGCAGCCTGGGGAACTCAGGCAGACCTGGGCCTGTGCGCTCCCCTCCTCTGGGCCGAAGGGCCAGGAAGGACCAGGCGAGCAGCCGGGACCCATCTCTGAGAAGCCGGCATCGGAGGTCTGGAGCGAGGCCACACCCTCAGGGCCACAGGGAGGCCGGAGGGCAAAGCACCAGCCCCTGTGCCCGCTCCTTCCCGGCCGTGGGGCCCCACGGGGACAGGCCCCCACCTTCCTCTGCCTTCCTCTCGGATGAGGGGCACGCTTGTTCAGCACGGAGGAAGGAGCCATCAGTGGTTTATTGAGGGGCAGCCGGAGCTGAACGTCTTCCCACCCTCCTCCTCGGCCGGGGAGAGGGCGGGAGGGCGGGAGAAGAATGGCCTCTCTCCAGGCTGGGGCAGCAGCAGGGGGGAGGGGCAGGGAGGCATGGGAAGTGGGAAGGGCCTGTGGCAGCGGGCAGCGTAGAGGCACCTCATGAGTCGCATGGCCATTGGGCCCAGCACAGGTTCAGGCGCTGGCTGCCCGTGGCAGGGGCCTGGGTCCCAGAACCAAGGGCCCGCAGGTAAGTGACAGTCCTGCAGGGCAGCTGGGCTGGGGCCCCTCTGGCCAGGGAGCAGCTTATCTCAGAGAGATAGGCTGGAGTCCCGCAGCCAGGAGAGCCGCCCACCGCCCTGAGGGACTCACATCCAAAGGGTGGGGAGCCCCAGGTGATGCCCCCTCTGTCGGGGCCACGGCTGAAGGTCTGCCAGGCTGGGCATGGGCAGGCGGGCCACGTGGGTGGGAGGTGGGCGGCTGGGCCAGGGGCCACGGATCACTGCATGGGGCCTGGGCGAAGAAGCAGGCTGGCACCATGTGGCACCATCGCTAGTTCCACTGAGGAGCGAGGGGGGCGGGGAGAGAGGCCCACGGTCTCCCACCCCGTGAAGCTCGGCTTCTGAGCACACCGAAGCCGTGGCCGGCAAAAGCCCAACGCGGGAGACGGCCCGGGCGGAGTGTGCCAATGGGGAAGCGGGGCGGCCAGGACGGCGATGGGGCGGGCAGAGGGCTGGGACGGCGGTCAGCAGGGGCCTTCCTGCAGCTCCGAGGACAGTAGCAAGAGCAGCGGGTCAGCTGGAGGGGGTGCCTCGTCCCCCCGGAGTCACGGGGCCTCGCTGGAGCCAATCCCGTTGCCTTTGTTGACGTAGAACGGCCGGTGGTGAGACTGCGGGACAAGAACAGTGAGCGGATGGCGGGGATCCCCCCTAACCCCTGGGAAGCAGCAGTGGTCTGAACCCCAACAATTCTACCAGCTGGAGCCTATCCTGTGATCAGGACTGGCCCCCTGCCAGAGTCCCAGGTTCACACCCTAATTAGAGTCCATTTCCCGCCATCGGTTGGTGAGCTTGCACCTCAGCCCTCATCCAGTCCCTCCATGGCCCGGGCCTCCCAGCACTGCAGCTCTCGCTCTGCTCACAGAGCCACAGCACGCTCACACTGGGATTGCACCGCCACCCATCCCTGGTTCCTGCTCGCACACCCCTTTACAGACGGGCAAACCGAGGCGCAGAGGCTAAGCCATCTGCCCAGTCACTCAGCTAGTAAGTAGAGGAGCCGGAGCGCCAGGCCCAGCAGCTGGGTCCGCACCCATCCCCATCCCGCCATTTCTCCAAACAACTCTGGGTCTGGAGGGCTCAGAGGCAGCGGAGAGGCTGCGCCCGCCCCGCCCGCAGGGACCACGGCCGGCTCAGCCCCTTCCGCCCTGGCTTCTCCTGGGGGGAGGAGGGGTCAGGAAGCCTCAGGACAGAGCCAGGGCCGGCTCCGCCCGCCTGTGCGAACGCAGCAGCGGCTTCACAGAATCAGCGCTCCTGCTTCCCAGGCCCCAGCGCGCCCTGTGGCCTCGGCCCTGAGCTGGTCAGAGCGAGCCCAGCAGCACCCGGACCCTGACCCAGGAGACACCAGGCGCCTCCAGCCCTGGCCTTGGCCTTGCCAGCGTAGACTCGGCATTTCCTAGGACTCCTGGCTGGGCCCAGTCAGCTCATGCCTCAGGGACCCGCTTATGAGCACGGGAAGAGATGGAGGCCAGGGAGGGAATGGCAGGCGAGGCACACAGCCCTTAGCCGTGGCGTCTGGACCAGGTCTCTGACCCCATGTGCCCAACAGCCTTCAACACAGCAAAGCAAACGGCCGGCCATGGCTGCACCGCGCTTTCGGGGAGGCGGGTCGGTACGATGGCCAGTGTGAGAAGTCCGAAAGGCTGATTCCAATGTAGCCCTGGTATTCGGGGGCCAGCAATCCGAATCCGTGCAGCAAGCCCAGGGCACGTTCCTGATAACCTGTCATCAACTCACTGCCTCTTCCCCAGAAACTGGTCTTGCAAGACCTTTCGCCTACAGAGGCATAAACGACGAACAGTGCACAGCCTTGGGGGGTGGGGGTGGGGGTGGTATTAGCACTGGCACCAGGCCAGACCCTTAGATATGGTCTTAAGACCCCCAACACCTGGGCCCCTTTTTGCAAAGCCCGAGAAAGGACCAGAAGCATTACCCATGTTTGTGGGATAAAGACACCGGAAAGATAGAAAAGAGAAGCTCCTGCATGTTACTTTGCTCAGACTTGGGAAGTTATTCTGCCGAGTCTGCCGGTGCAATAAACTGTGTAACTCCTTTTCTCTAAAGTGTGGCTTGGGCCGAAACCAGTTTGGCTCAGTGGATAGAGCGTCAGCCTGCGGACTCCAGGGTCCTGGGTTCGATTCCGGTCAAGGGCATGTACCTGTGTTGCGGGCATGTCCCCAGTAGGGTGTGTGCAAGAGGCAGCTAATGAATGTTACTCTCTCATCGATGTTTCTGGCTTTCTATCCCTCTCCCTTCCTCTCTGTAAAAAATCAATAAAATATATATATTAAAAAAAAAAAAAAGCGTGGCTTGGTTTTTCTCCTGTCTTCTGCAACAAGTGAGCAGTGCTGTCCGTTAGGCCCCAGTGGTGGGCGGGCGGAGACAGAGCCCAGAGCCAGGGCACCTGAGCAGGGGGTGCCCCCATGCCCCTGTCCCTCTATGTGTCAGTCACAGCCTGTGAGGGCTGGAAGAGCTATAAAATCATCCCAGCCGTCTGACTTACGTTATAGATGGGGAAACTAAGGCACCAAGGAAGAACGGCTCCCATAGGTCACATGGCAAGTTGGTGAGAGGCCTGGGGCCAGCCCTCAGGAGGCCAGCCCCCTGGCATAGGATCACCCCCTCTTCTCCCAGCTCTGGGCGTGGCTGCAGGCACCAGGGCCCGGCCAGCATCTCGAGATGGCCACCCTCCCCGGACAGTGGGCTGACCCCTGCAGGGCCGGGCCTGGCCTCCACGGAGAGCCTGCCGAGACCGTGGCACAGCGTCTGAGCCAGCCCTGGTCGCTGAGGTCTGTGCAGGGCCCGGCAGCTACCGAAACCGAAACACATTTGCTCCTAAGTTTGCAGACGTGGCCTCAGCACGCCCACTGCCTCCCCCAGCTGCCCCGCACAGGGCTCCTCGCTGGTGCTGGGGCGGGTGCTGGTCCCAGGCTCAGCTGTCACCCTCCCAGAGCAGCAGCAGAGCCGTCACTCAGCAAGCGGGTGCCAGCAGCCTCTGCCAGATCGTAGCCCCGGCCGCCCGTTTTACAGATGAGAAAACAGGCTCAGAAAGTCCCTGCTGACTTCGCCCCCGCCTGTGGGCCCTGCATTCCTTCTGCCCTTTGCTGTGTGCAGGTCCTCAGGCCACTGCTGCCTCTTCCCACCACGGCCCCACGGCCCCGGGCAAGTGACGGTGGTCCCCGGGAGCCACTCAGGGCCCGTCCTGCTGGGCAGACTCCGCACGGCTCCGCACTCACCAGCAACGTCTGCTTGCCAGATTTCCAAGTCTGGGGCTGGGCCTTCGGGCTCTGGCTCCGCATGAGGGAGGGGTACCCTGGGGAGGCAGAAGCTTGGTCAGAGGAGGCCTGTGGTCAGAGAGGCCCTGCCCGCAGGGAGCCCAGGGCGCGGACCCATCTCCATAGTGACCCTCAGGGAGCCCCGGGCGCGGACCCATCTCCAACGTGACCATCAAGCTCCATCCAGCCCGCTCCCAAGGAGAGCCACTCCGAGGAGGTTGCAGCCCACGGGGTTCCCCAGGGGAAACCTGGGGGGCTGGCCGAAGGGAGGGGCCCAAGGCAGACAGAAAGAGGAGGAGCAGGCGAGGTGGGCTGGGCCGGCAGCAGGAAAGTGTCCCCCAATCCAGGTCAGGGTCACTCCACTCTGGAAATTTCCTCTCGCAATCGCCCTGGCCCGTCCTGAAGCCCCGGAGCTCAGGAAAGCCTCTCATAGCCAGCCTGCGGGCTCCGCCAGGAGGCCCTACCTGTGCTGCACTGACCGGCCCACGGGCTCCATGCGGGACTGCGGTTCCCGGAGCCCCCCACCCCCATTTCTGCGAGCCCCAAGGTCGTCCCGGCCGCAGTGAACAAGCCAGGGGGAGCCCGGTTTGGGGGACCAGCCCTGCCTCGGGCTCTGCGGCCCCTCTTGCGTGGAGGCAGGAGGCGGGGCCGGGGGGCAGGGCTGAGCCCAGGCGGCCTGCTGCAGGGGTCCTGGGTGCCCTGGGAGTCGGGGGGTGGCCACAGGCCTGGGAGAGGCCCTCGGTGCCAGCCATGCTGGCCCCACTGGGCGGAGCGGAGCCCGGGAAAGGCCCGGAGCAGAGGGACTCGGAGTCAGCGGGCCCTGCCCGGGCCGGTGCTCAGCAGGGTAGCCCCGTGTGGGCACCACAGGCTGCGGGTTCAGGTCCTCTTTGGGGCTCATGCCTAGGCTGCGGGTCCCACCCCGGTCAGGGCATGGGGCAGGCAGCTGACCAGTTTCTCTCACATCGACGTTTCTCTTTCTTGCTCTCTCCCCTTCTCTCTAAAAATCAATAAACATATCTTTGCAGGATGTTTATAGTGCGGGATTCATGAGGTCAAACAATTAAAAGAGAAAGGAAGCCTGGCCCGTGGCTCAGGGGCTGAGCATCGACCTACAAACTAGGAGGTCACGGTTCGATTCTCGGTGAGGACACACGCCCAGGTGGTGGGCTCCATCCCCAGAGGGGCGTGCAGGAGGCAGCCGATCAATATTCTCATCATTGATGTTTCTCTCTCTCCCTCTCTGAAATCAATAAAAAAAAAAATTTAAATGAACATGTTTGTCCCTGGCGAGGGCCAACGAGAGCCCTTAGGGACAAGCTGGTCAGACCCAGAAGCCAGAGCACCGCCGGGGCCAGCCGCTGCCCCCATGGCACCCGGCGGGGCAGAGAGCAGAGCGCCCGGCTCTGCCCGCCCCGGCTCTGCCTGCCCCCGGCTCTGCCCGGCCCGGCTCTGCCCGCCCCGGCTCTGCCCGCCCCGGCTCTGCCTGCCGGCCTTGGAAAGAGGGTCCTGCTGACCCTGAACGGGAGCCGGGAGAGTCCCACTTCTCCGTGTCCGGGAAGAACCCACACCGGCCGGGAGGGGGCGCAGGAGGGGGCAGCCGGGGTGACAGTGGGCGTCCGCCTCTCCCGAGGAGGCCCAGGACGGAGAAGTGGAGAGAGCCACAGCTGCACCGTCCCGTGGGAGAGAGGGCGGGCAGGTACCAGGGTTGGTTTTAAACAGCTCCCTGGTGTCCCGCAGCCTGGAAAACTCGGGGCTGGCCTGTCCCGAGGTGGGGAACTGGTGGGGGGGCCTCGCAGGGCCTGCTGGGAGAGAGAGGCGTTAGCGGCGCGGGGATTGCACTAGAACGATCATCTCATTTCCAAACAACCCGCGGCCAGGCTCAGCCCCGTCCCCCTGCTGGGAGCGTGCTCTCTGCCTCCTGAGCGGGCGCAGGCGGGCTGGTCCAAGGGCTCCTCGCTGCTCGAGGCCCTGCCTCCTCCGGGGCCTTCCCCGGGGCTGGTGAGTGCTCTGTGGAGGGGCCAGGTGGCCAGCCATTCCTGGAGGACGCGGTGCACGGGAGGGCTCCCTAAGGCCCGGCCGGAGGCTCTGCAGCAGGTGAGCACGTAGGGAGCGGCAACCACTCACCCCTGCCGGGCGCCTTTGCCTGGCCGACCACAGGGCGGGGGGCTCCGGGAGGGGTCTGTAGGGGCCAGACAGGCTCGGGGACCCCGTTCCCTAGCTCCTGCCCAAGGCACCCTCTGCCTGGCTGATGGTTCCAAGCCTGGAAGAGGGGCTGAGGAGGAAGCCACCTTCAGAGGCCGCTGCCTGGGGGTCTGCCTGCCCTGCCCCCCCCCCACGTCTTTCAGGCCAGGCCCCCGCTCACCAGCCTGGACGTCTCCAAAGAGCCCTGAGGGCTGGGCCCCGCGACCCCTCCAGGGCCCGAGGGCTGACTCTTCAGCCATGCAGAGCCGGAGGGGACAGGAGTGGAGGCCCTCGCACCCCCTTCCCCAGAGCTGCCCGAGGGCTTTGGCTCTGCGTGGCCACAGGGCTCTGGGGGGAGGGGATGTGGAGGGTGTGGCCTGGCCCGGTGCCCACAGGGGACAGTGCGAGTCAACAGCCCAAGAGCCCCGCCGAGCTGTCAGCTGGGGGCGCCGGGGGGCGGCTCCCTGCTCCCAGCCCAGGCTCCCCTGGCGGCGCTGGGCGGGGCTGGGAGGAGGAGCGGCGGCAGGCAGGGCAGCAGGCCCGGGCTCACCTTTCAGGGAAAAGGAGGAGCTGCCCGGGGCCCCGGGCAGGGCCAGGTCCTCGGGGCTCTGCGCGGAGGAGGAGGCGTACTCCCAGACTCGCGACGTGTAGTTACCTGACAGGCAAAGGGGAGGGTCAGCCCCCGCGGCCATTCCTGCGGCTGACCAGTTCTCACGGGTCTCAAGCCAGGGGGACGCGGGGCCCACTCACCTCCTGCCAGTCAAAGCTGTCCTTCCGAACCAGGAGCGCTGCCCTGCCCGCCCGCAGCCACTGCCCTCCGTCCGGGGCGGCTCAAAGCGCCCGCCGCCACCCTCCCTGGCCGCCTCCTCCCTCGCCGCTCCGAGGCTCCTCATCCGCGCGCGGAGTCCTGCACCGCAGGCTCCCGCCGCCCTGGCTTTGAGCACAGGCCAGGCCTGGTGCACTCCCGTGCGCCCCCAGGCTCGGCAAGCCCAGGTTGGTCTTCAGTGTCCGCGTCCGCCTCAGCTCCCGGCCTGTGCGGGCTCGCCACGCCCCCTCACCGCACGCTGCCGCCCCCTGCAGGTGGTGCTCAGCCTCGTCTCCCCTGAGCTCCGAGGGCAGCGTCCCCCCTGCCCGGCACAGAGCCTGCCCAGAAGGGGGTCCTCGGAGGGGAGGCAGATGAATGAGTGAGCAAATGAGCAAATAAATGCAGACACGGGCTGAGCATTAGTCAGAGCAGCTAAGACACCTCCTGGCATCGCTCGCCAGGTGGGGCAGCTGACACGTCCATTTGCAAGGAGCAGCAGCGAGGGGGCAGACAGGACAGTGGGGTCCTCAGGGCCCCTCTGAAGAGGCCCCTCCTCCGACCCCTCCCGTCCCACCGCAGGGTCCCAGGCCCGAGATCTCCCACTGTTGCCGGGAGGGGTCCAGGCTCAGCAGTCAGAGGGTGGCTGTCCGCCCGCTGCGGGGAAGCCCTGCCCACAGGGTCCCGGGAAGTCTCTGCAGCCTGGACCTCAGCCAGCACGTCCGCCCAGGCTCTCAGGCCCCATGGGCCTGGCCCTGCCATTCCCTCATTCATCTGCCCCCCCTCCCCGCGCTCCCTCTCTCCAACAAGTGTCTCCTGAGCCCCTCCAGGCCGAGGTGGCAGCTGTGACAGACGGACCAGCGTGGCCCGCAGTCTCCGTGCCCGTGATGGTGCAGGGGAGTCCAGGCCCGGACACGAGGCCCGGCGCTGCCCCGTCCAGGAGTCCTGCCTCCTGATCCCCAGGACTTCCTGTTCTCTGGAGGCCCGACTGGCTCTGCAGGCTGGCTCTGTGCCAGGGGCTGGGAGCTGGCTCCCACCCCCCCCCCACCCAGGGCTGGGAGGGCCAGGCCCCCACTGGCTCCCCAAGCGTGAGGCCCCTGCAGTGCCTGGCGGAGCTGGGCACCTGCCGTCCCCGGAGGCCAGGGCTTTCCCATCCATCTCTCCTGGGCCGAGGGTATGCCACCCTCCCCTCTCAGGGCGGGGCACCCCTCACGGCGGGGCGGGCCCACTCCCACTGTGCCACCCTGCCCCTTAGGGCAGCAGGAGTCTGGCTCCCTAAGGTATAAGCACGCAGATCTTCGGGGCTCCTCCTGCCCCGGCTCGCGCTGAGGGGCACCCCAAACCCACCAGGCCCGTCCCTGCTGTTCCCAGGCAGAAGGTCCGGACCCAGGCTCCCAGGGCGGCTCCTGCAGCCCAGGCGTGGTCTCACCGCACACACAGGCACACCCGCCCTTTACACCGTGAGCTCGCACCCTCCCCAGCCCCTCGCCCGAGCATCGCCCTACCTTTGGTGCCGTAGAGATTGCTGAAGTTCTTCTGGTTGATGTCCTTGGGGAGGCGGCTGGGGGACACGGGCTGGTACGACGTCCTGGCCCCCGCTGGGAAGCAAAGGGAAGGGCAGCTCACCTGACGGCCGGGCCTGTCCCAAGGCCCAGGTGCCACGGCGACAGCTCCCTGGGGTCTGAGTGAGGCGACCGTTTCATTCACTGCCCCTCCCCCCCCCCCCCGTCCCGATCGGACACACTCTGTTCATGCCAAGAGCACCAGCCTGGACACAGAGGCCTCTGGTCACCTGCTCGAGACTGAGGCCGCCAGAGGCTGCCCTGAGCCGGTGCCTGCGGCGGCAGCCTGCGGCGGACACGGCTCCTGGGGCGGGAGGCGCCGGTGCAGGCCTGGCGCTGAGGCTGGTGAGCGGGGAGAGGGTCCTCAGCCCCCACCCCGGGGGCTCTGGCACCAGTCTGAGAGGGTGGCGGCCTGGGATGCACCCCCTCTACAGGTGAGAAAACACACTCCTGCACTAGCAGGCAGGGCCCCGGGGTTGAGCAATTCCCGGTCAGGCACACGCCTGCGCTGAGGGCTCCATCCCCAGTGAGGGGTGTGCAGGATTCTCTCATCACTGGTGTTTCTCTCGCTCTCTTCCTCTCAGAAATCAATAAAATGTATTTTTTTTTTTTAAAGAAAGCTCACTCAGGTCCTTCTGTGGACCCCGCCCTCACAGAGCCAGCCTCGGCAGGCCCAGCCCCTACCCGGCACCTGCTCTGCCCGGCACCACAAGTGTTTTTAATTCTCAATAATCCCCCCCAAAAAGTGTTTTTAATTCTCAATAATCCCCCCAAAAAAGTGTTTTTAATTCTCAATGATCACCCCAAAAAAGCCACGTAGAAACTCCAGAGGAAGGGGAAAAAGAATTCCAGTAGCACATTGCATGGCTTATCTGCGAATAATGTTTATACAACCCCCAAGGGCACATGCCCCCTGTCCGAGGGCGGGCGGGGGCGGGCATGGGGCCGGGGGCCCTGGTCTCCCTTGCAGATGCCCAGCCTCCTGGCATCCTCTCTCCTCAAACAGGGCCCTCCCCCACTGCCTCCTCCTCACGGCCTGTGGGGGAGCTGCCCTCCCCACCATTGTCCTCAGGATGGGGGGCAGAACAGGGGCAACTCGGGGCTTGATGCCCAGCAGGGTCCTGGCCCAGAGGCCTGGGAGCGAGGAGAGAGGGCTGGTGGGAGCTGGGATCTCACAGAACTGCGCCCGAGGGCAGCGAGGGGGGGAGGCCGACTCCCGTCCACACAGGACTGTGGGGGTGGGGCCAGGTGCTGCCCCTCGCCAGGCCTCTACGTGCAGTCCAGGTGCTGCTTTCTCATTGGGGGCCGCTCCTCTGACCTGAGCTCATCCCTCCCAACCCCTGTGCGCCCCACCCACATGTGCGCCCCACCCACGTGTGAGCCCCACCCACGTGTGCGCTCCACCCACGTGTGCGCCCCACCCACATGTGTGCCCCACCCACGTGTGCTCCCCACCCACCGTGTGCGCCCCACCCACCGTGTACACCCCACCCACGTGTGCTCCCTACCCATCGTGTGTCCCAGGGGTTAGTCAGTGCAAGACAGGGGCCTCCTCTGCATCCTTTCTGCCTCTCCCCACATGTATTCTCCCCACATCCGTGCCTGCACCCCTGCCCCGCACATGCCTACACACATTCCCGGCACATCCTGCACCCTCCCCCACACGCCCGCACCCCTCCCCCACATGCCCGCACCTGAGGCCGGCGGCCTCACCACCTTAGGTAAAGGGCGCTGTTGCTGCCAAAGAATGCGGCAGGCTCCCTCAGGGCAGGGCCAGGCAGGCGCTGGTCTGCACCCCCAGCCGGGAGGCCGGCCACAGAGGGGGGCAGCTGCCTCCAGGCCCTGAGGGGCAGAGGGAGGCACTGAGGCAGAAGCCAGACCCAGTGTGGCCGGGCGCAGGGAAGGTGGGACCCCTGGGTGGTGAGAAGGGAAGCCCCTGAGGAGCAGGGTGCCGGCTCACAGGTCATGCAAACCGGAGGCACAGCCGCAGCCTTACCCTTGGGCGTGAGGTACATGGAGTACCTCTTCATGGTGTCCGGCGCGCCCCAGTCGCTGGCGTAGCTGCTGGTGTAGCTGCTCATGTAGCGGTGGTCGCCCCCTGGAGGAGAGGGCGGTCAGCGGAGGGCCGAGGGGGCAGCTGCCCGGCTCCCGCTGCTCCGGGACGCGGGCTCCCAGCCTCAGAGGAGGCAACCGCCTCACCCCATCTGCTTGGGGCCCTGGCCGCAGGGGCTCTGCCTGCCCTGCACAGAGCTGGGAGCCGTGAGCACGGAGCTGGGAGCCGTGAGCTCGGAGCTGGGAGCCGTGAGCTCGGAGCTGGGAGCCGTGTGCACGGAGCTGAGAGCCATGTGCACAGAGCTGGGAGCCGTGAGCTCGGAGCTGGGAGCCGTGTGCACGGAGCTGGGAGCCGTGAGCTCGGAGCTGGGAGCCGTGTGCACGGAGCTGAGAGCCATGTGCGCAGAGCTGGGAGCCGTGAGCTCGGAGCTGGGAGCTGTGAGCTCGGAGCTGGGAGCCGTGTGCACGGACCTGAAAGCCGTGTGCACAGAGCTGGGAGCCGTGTGCACGGACCTGGGAGCCGTGTGCATAGAGCTGGGAGCCGTGTGCACGGACCTGGGAGCCGTGTGCATAGAGCTGGGAGCCGTGTGCACGGAGCTGGGAGCCGTGTGCACGGAGCTGGGAGCCGTGAGCTCGGAGCTGGGAGCCGTGTGCACGGACCTGGGAGCCAGGTGCTGCTAACTCTTCTCCCCATCTGACAGGCACACAGCCCCTGCACCCCAAGACACAGCGCAGAGTGTGGGCGAGTGGCCTGGGCTCAGGAAGCCCAAGGTGCTGTGCCAGCGCGGCCCCGGGCGAGCCCGCCCCACTGCTGCACCCCGGCGGGCCGGCCGCCCCGGGCGGGCTTGAGAGGTGTGTGGAGGAGTGAGCTCTCAGAAGGGGCCCACTCCTCCCGGCCGCCCCTCACTCCTCAAAACCCAGTGTGGCTCCCTCTGCCTCTGGCCCTCCTCACTCCTCCTCACCCCTCCCTCTCCTACCCGCCCCCGCCCCTCAGGCTGCACCTGTCCCGTGCCCAGCAGCCCTGACCGGGGAATGGCCGGGGCTGGCCGGCCCTCACCCCCCCACCCCCCGGTGGCCGCCCCTCGCTCCCGCCCAGGGCGCCCTTGGTGCAGATGGGAGATAGGAGAGGGAGGCAGAGCCGCTGGTGCCTGCCAGGCGGAGCCTTAAAAGCTGCTCCTCTGAGCCTCCGCCCTGGCCCCCCAGCCCCCCTACCCGCCCCCTGCCCCCCCGGCCCCCCTGCCCCCCCGGCTCCCCGGCCCCCTGGCTCCCCGGCCCCCTGGCTCCCCCGGCCCCCCTCCCCCCCGGCTCCCCGGCCCCCTGGCTCCCCGGCCCCCTGGCTCCCCCGGCCCCCCTCCCCCCCGGCTCCCCGGCCCCCTGGCTCCCCGGCCCCCTGGCTCCCCCGGCCCCCCCGACCCTTGGGTCCCCCCGGCCCTTGGCTCCCCCGGCCCCCCCGGCCCCCCTGCCTGCCACCGGCCCCCTGGCTCCCCCGGCCCCCTGGCTCCCCCGACCCTTGGGTCCCCCCGCCCGCTGGCTCCCCCGGCCCCCCCGACCCTTGGGTCCCCCCGGCCCCTTGGCCCGGGAGACACACTACAGCTGCCGAGAGCTCAGATGCTGGCGGAGAGCGGGCGGGCCCTCCATCTGCCAGCCTCACCCTGGGGTCACACGGTGTCTTTAGCAGGAGGTTTCGGGAGCCGAGTGCCCCTCGTCTCACTGCCATGCTGACCCTCCTCAGAGGCACCGGTGACGCCACCACCAGACATGCAGGCCGCTGGCCTGGCAGTCTGCACCCAAACGGCACACGCTGCGCCGGCCGCCTCCTCGGTGTCCGGCAGAGCCGTCAGCCAGGCGGTGTGCCGGCCTGGGAAAGTGCCAGGCGCGGGCCCTGAAGGGACGGCGGGGCTGCAGCGGGGCGGGTGGGGGGACACCGCAGCAGGGTGGGGCCAGGGTAGGAGGCTCTCCGTGGGCTCGGCAGCGGCCTCTGTGGGTGGAGCGTGATTCAGAGTCGCTGCCTTCAGGGGAGCCGGGGAGTCGCCAGGACAGGCTGTCTCCGCCCGCCCCACCGCCCCCTCCAGCCCGGCCCAGCCTCAGCGCAGAGGACTCAGCACAGGTGACAGGAGCTCTCTCCAGCCCCGGGGCAGTTCCATGCCCACCTCCCGAGGTCTGCAAGCCCTTAAAGAGGCAACCAGGCCCGGCTGGCGGGGCTCAGGGGTGAGGGGTTGAGCGGGGACCTAGGAACCAGGAGGTCACGGTTTGATTCCAGTCAGGGCTCATGCCCGGGTTGCGGGTTTGATGCCAGTGAGGGATATGCAGGAGGCAGCCCACCCATGATTCCCTCTCATCATTGGTCAATAAAATACTTTTGAAGGGAAGTGGCAGCGTCCACCGGCGGCTGGACTGGGCCTGGCTCGGACGCAGCCCTGAGCCTGACGGCGACAGCAGCAGGGACGTGGGCGCCGGCGGCCGGCTGCCCTGCCCGAGGCCCCGTGCAGAGGCCGCCCCCTGTGGGGCTGCACGGGGCGGACCAAACCGCAGGCGCGGCGGTCTGTGGGCCCGCCCCTGCCGCGCCAGCGGGACTCACCAGTGTCGGCGTGGCTCCTCTCGATGAAGCCGCGGCTCAGGTCGGCCTTGCACACCTTCTCCACGTGGCGCATGCACACGTTCAGCAGGTCGTCCCGGCAGTTGCCCAGCGCCTGCCCCAGGCCCTCCCCCTCCAGCAGCACGCGGTAGCTGGGCAGGGGCGGGGGCAGCGAGTAATTGCTCATCAGCGCGCCAAACTCCTGCGGGGAGGGAGAGGGCCTCAGTCTGGCAGGCTGGCACAGGGCAGCTGGCTCTCCACAGGAGCCAGAGGCCGGGCGTGGCCTGCTCTGCTGTGGACAGGCCCGTTTTCCTCCGTGACACGGGCGCGTTTGGCCCGGCCTGTCTGGCTCAGTGGGTAGAGTGTGGCCTGTGGATAGAAGAGGCCTGCATTCGATTCCGGTCAAGGGCAGGTGCCCGGGTTGTGAGTTCCCGTGGGAGCACATGAAGGAGGCTTCAATGGATTTGTTTCTCTCACATCGATGCTTCTCTCTGCCTCTCCCTCTCCTTTCCACGCTCTCTAACATCAATGGAAAACATTTTTAATAAAATGAGATGAAATATGAGAGTTTGACTAAAACCCACGGGTGCCAATGCCCTGGCAGCACAGCGGGGACTCCGTGGCCCCGCCACACTGCGCGCCCGTCTGCCGCGGCTGGGGCAGCGGCACCCGTGCAGGCGTGGGGGTGAGAGCCTACAAAAGGCGGAACTCTGGAGCGTCTGTGCCAGTCAGGGCCGCTCACCTTTGAGCTCCTCCCTCCCTGCTCACCGGAGAACCCTCTGCTTTCCAATCCCCAGGGGCCTGCCGAGCCGCTGTCCCGCCTCCTCTCCTCAGCGCCCTCCTGCCCGCCCCTCCCTGGGCCTCCGGGACGCCCCGAACCACCTGGTTCGGCAGTGACTTCCACATGCATACGGGCTGCCCTCCGACTGTCTGGATGCAGCTCCTTGGGGACCAAAACCATAACCTGCAGTGAGAGGACTAGGCAGGCAGGGCACCCAAAACCTCCAGCAGACATCCATCCAGTTGGATGACTAGACCAACAGCTAAGATCAAGGACAACAGCCCCGGCTGGTGTGGCTCAGTGGATAGAGCATCGGCCTGAGGACTGAAGGGCCCTGGGTTTGATTCCAGTCAAGGGCACAGGCCCGAGTTGTGGGCATGATCCCCAGTAGAGGGTGTGCAGGAGGCAGTCGATCCATGATTCTCTCTCTTTACTGATGCTTTCATCTCTTTCTCTCCCTCTCCCTTCCTCTCTGAGATCAATAAAAAATATATTATAATAAAAATTTTTAAAAAAGATCCAGGACAACAAATAAGCAACGCTTCTCGGCCACAATCCCGCCCTCCTGCGGGCACAGCTCTGCTGGGCGCCATCCGCGGGTCGGGGGGATGCTCAGCACAGGAGTCCGGGAGCCGTGGCGGGGCGGGGCCTACCTGCAGGAAGAGCACCGAGTCGCTGATGCTGTGCAGCTGCTCTCGCGTCTGCTTGTCCTCCTGCAGCACCTGGGCCCGCTGCTCCAGGGCGTCCACGATCACCTTCACCTGGCCCACGGCGTCCTGCTCCCGCTGCTCCAGCGCCGCCCTCACCTCCTCCTTCTGCTTCTCCAGCTCCCGCGCCAGCTCCCGGAAGCTCTGCTCCAGGACGGCCTTCTCGCTGGTGGTGAAGCTCTGGGTGCGAGGAGGGCACGGGGGAGGGGGCAGTCACTGGGCGCTCCCCCCCAGCGGCTAGGCCTGCAGCCCAGAGCCGGTCTTTCCCACCCAGAGAGCCTTACCCGGTGGCCTCTCGCCACCACTCCCCGCCCGGTGGGCAACGCTCTGGGCCCCAGAGCCCGTGAGTCCGGCTGTGCTCCCTGAGCCTCCACCGGAACCCAGCACCACCAGGAGGCGTTGGTGGGTGCGTATGTGGCCCGGCCCAGGGGCAGACATGTGTGCAATTACTCATGCCATGCACGCGCACGCTGCCCTCCTGGCCCGGGGCGAGCAATGGCGAGCCTTCGGCGGCGTGGCCTGGGCAGACAACGGGGCTTTGGAAGGCAGTGGTTCTAGAGCCTGCCTGTCCTGGAATGATGTCACGGGAGTGTAGGGTGCTGGGTAGGATCCCACTTGTACCCCTGGCCCGAATGAGACGAGGGATTGGCAAGGACGCCAGCGCACGGGGAGGACCGGGAGAAAGCCAGCGTGGGGCCACGGGGGCTGAGGCCTGGGCAGGAGGCCGCTCTGCCCGGGAGGGGGAGGGCTAGGGGGCGGCTGCACCTTGATGCGGTCCTTCTCCTTCTGCCACTTGTCTGCCTCGTCCTCGAGCTCGATGATCTTGAGCTGCAGCTGCTCCTTCTGCAGGGACAGCTCTGTCTGCAGGGGAGGGGGGAGGAGACGTCAGGATGGAGGAGTGGGAGTGGGCTCACCCAGGGAGCAGCCTCGACAGGCTCACTCGTCCATCCAGTCCTTCGTCAGCAAACCGCATCCAGACCTCACAGGCCAGGCCCCGGCCAGTGGCCAAGGATCCAGCAACACTCTCCCCCAAACCCGACCGTGGGGGCCGGCACCCGCAGGTCTGCGCAGGCTCACCGCTGCGGCCCTCCGCCCAAGGTGGGGTCCCCTCCTTCCGGTGGGCCGGGCCCCGGGAGGGCCCGGACAGGGGGCCTGTGCCAGGCAGCTTCCCATCCCGGGAGGATTTCTGTCTGTCCCAGGCTAAGGGGCAGGCGGCTGGCTCAGGAGTGGAGGAGCTGGCCTGAGTGTCCTCCCACACACACACAGGGTCTGGCGGACAGGGGAGCCAAGAATAAAAGTGCGTGCGTGCAGGGTGCACTCCCACCTCAGGCCTGGGCATCCGAAGGCTTAACTCCGGGTACTGTCCCCTCCAGGCAGGCCTCTCATGGAGGTGGGGAGGGCTGCCTACGGGAGCTGTGGGTCCCGAGGACCAGGAAAGGGACGCTCTCAGCGGGTGCCTGGCACAGGGCACCTTCTCTGGACAGCATGCCAGGCAGGCCAGCGGGGCACTGCGAGCGAGGGCAGTGGGCAGTGGGCAGGAGCTGGGAGCATGCCTGGGTGCAGGAGTGGTGGGAGGTGGGCACTGCCCGGCACAGAGGGCTGCGCAGAGGCCGGCGAGGCAGCACTCTGGAGCAGCGGTCGCCAACCTCTGGGCCCTCACAGCCCTCCGGGCCCCGGACCACGGGTTAAAGATTAGATGAAGGATGCAAAACAGATCGCGGAGGCTTGGAGGAACGGGGCCGCCAGAATGGAGGTGGGGAAAGGGGTGAGTGGGCGGCGATCTGACCAGAGAAGCAGAGGCCGGAGGAGCCCAGGCCTGGAGGGAGCAGGTGCGTGGCCTCGGGGCAGGAGCGGACGAGGCCGTGTGGAGGCTGCGGTGCGACAGGCAGCGTGGACTCACTGGCCAAGAGCAGGAGGAAGGCTCTGACCACAGAGGAAGCGGGTCCGAGGAGGTCAGAAAATGTTTAAACCGGCCAGGCCACCGTCCACGTGGCTCAGGGTGGTGATCGACCTACGAACCAGGACTCGGTTCGATTCCCCGCCAGGGCACAGGCCTGGGCTGCGGGAGGCAGCCGAACAGTGACCGTCTCTCCTCACTGATGTTTCTCTCTCCCTCTCCCTCCCTCTGAAACAAATAAAAAACTAATTAAAAAACAAAGCCGAGGCCAAGGCACCGTCCCGCTCGGAGGGAGAGGGGGGCCGTGGGCTCGCCCTGGGGTGGGGGAGCCAGCCCCGAGGGAGGGGCTTGAGCCCTGACAGGCCGAGTGGAGAGGTGCTGCCGCTGCGGGGGTGGGAGGTCGGCTGCGAGGCCAGGCCCATCCCTGGGAGCCGACGCCACGTGTCAGACTCGCGCCCGCAGTGCAGGCCTTGGGGCCGCCAATACAGTGCAAATAACAATCTCACACCTCGAGCTTTACAATATCCTCTTACACATAGTTATTTTTTTCTTTTTTAACATATGGAATGCTTCACGAATTTGCGTGTCATCCTTGGGCGGGCCTTGCTAGTCTCTATTTTAGCTCACGTGCTGCTGAAGCGAGCACAGACATCGCTATTAGCAGCCATCCGCAGCGTTCGCCGGTAGCTGGCCCTCCCGCAGGCCTTTCCCCCACTGACGCCGCAGGGACGGCAGCAGCCGCGGCCGCGCAGGGGGCTGGGACTGACTTGCTGGGTGAGTGCAACAGGAAATGTTTCGCTTTCGGAGAACAAGAAAAATGGGTTTATTTTAAGGTGACCAGATTTTTACATTGGTAAAGCGGGGCACCATGGACCGGGGTGGGGGGAAGTGGGAGGTTCTTGATTAAAAGTTTGGTCTATATGGAGCAACAAAAATTTTCATAGAACCCAAAAATAGTATTGTAATATATTTTTTAAAATTTCAATATAAGCACAATTTATAAATATAATAAACAAATAAAATTATGTATAGTATTATTTTCTTCTTTGGCATATTTCTCATTTGAGTGATTTTTTTTTAGTAGATTGCTGTTGTTTAAAAGGTCATAAAATTTTTCACAAGAATTTGTTAAATTATATTTCACACATAAAATGGCTTTCAAAGTCTCAACACTTAATTGTGATTTTTCTGACGTCCACACTTTATTTACTGTAGAAAAAACGTGTTCAGCCGAAACCGGTTTGGCTCAGTGGTAGAGCGTCGGTCTGCGGACTGAAAGGTCCCGGGTTCGATTCCAGTCAAGGGCATGTACCTTGGTTGCGGGCACATCCACGGTAGGGGGTGTGCAAGAGGCAGCTGATCGATGTTTCTCTCTCATCAATGTTTCTAGCTCTCTATCTTTCTCCTTTCCTCTCTGTAAAAAATCAATAAAATATATTTTTAAAAAAAGAAAAAAGAAAAAACGTGTTCAGTTGCAACATTAGTTCCTGGTAAGGACAGCGTGTATTCCACAATGCGAACTTTGATAAGCAGTTCTCGATAATCTGTTCTCAGCAATTATTTGTTATTATTAAGGTTTAACATTATAAAATTAACAAGAATAACATAAAACTCACATCCTGTTGCCAGGAGTAACCATGGGACGCCAGGGCCAGTTCCTGGCACGTGGCTGGGTTCCCGGAAGCCTGGTGTGCCTCTTGCCCATTTGCCTGTCACCCTCCGGCCGTCCTGCCTCAGCACCCAGAGGGGTCACCCCCTCCTTTCCTGACCCGCCCGCCGCAGGGCAGGTCTCCCCAGACCTCGGGGAAGTGGGCCCAGGCCCAAGACTGCTCCTCTTCTTAACCCGTCCCTGCTCTCTCCCCGCAGAGCCCGGCCCCGCAGCCCTGCCCCGCAGCCAACTCGGCCCCGTGGGGAGCCGGCGCCCAGGGCAGAGGCAGGGCTGAGGTCAGAGGAGCACACGGGCCGAACCCCCTGGGAGCAGGCAGCCCTCTCTCAGCAGCTGGAAGGCCTGGGGGGGGGGGGGCGTGAGGCAGAGGGCACTTGTCCCCCGTCAGCCCGGGGAGCACACCCAGTGCCCTGCCCCGCGGCCTCTGCTGGGATCCTGGGGGAGGGAGGGGGAAGGAGACTGACACCCTCCGCTCTGTCACCTGCAGCGAAGCAACAAGCAACGTGTCTGCGGTGACCTCACCGCTGTGCCAGCAGCTGCCGGACAGGTCTGGGCGGGTGGCGGCGCTGGGGCTGAGGGGGCGCCGGAAAGGGGCCGGACTGCAGTGCGGCTGACGTCCCGCAGAGCTGTCCGCCCCTCCCGGGCGGCCACGCTGCAGGCGCCGCACACACACAGACGCACGCACATGCACCAACACGCACACACACAGCGTGAGCCCGCTGCATGCACTCACGCCTGTGGGTCAGACATCTCCTGGGCCCAGGGAGCACACCGCTGAGCCCTGCCCCTTCCGGCTGTTCTCCTGAGCTGCTCCAGCGCGGACAGGCACTGGGAGCCGGTCCCTCAGACCTCCAGCTGGCCGGCCCCTCCTCCCGGCCTGACCCTGCAGGTGAAGCGGGGGACGAGCCTGCGATCCCGGGCTCCTGGCCGTGTGCCGCCGGCCGCGGTGACCTGTCCACTGCAGTCGCTGTTGGGCGGAGCCCCATTGAGCTGCTGTGCCTGCGCCTGCGCCTGCGCCTCGGGGACCAGCTGGAGCCCCTGAGGGCTGCCCAGCCCTGTCCTCAGGGCAGCCGCGCCCTCCCAGCTGGGGAACAGAAGTTGGAGGAGCTGGGCAGCGGGCTCTGCCGGTCACAGACCGGAGCCCCAGGCGGCTCTTGGCTCCGCTGCCCTTCCTCCTCGTCCCCGAGGCCTTGACGCCATTTTCAAGGCCCCGGGGTTCCAGGGCCACGTGGGAACCAATCCGCCCGGCCCTCGGTTTCACCGGGAAACCAAGACCCCGAGCACAAAGGCTAGTCACACCGGGAGCAGCCGGCGGCCGGAGCCGGGCGCAGTTGTGCCGTGGCCTGGCTCCGGGGCTGCTGCCGATTGCCCCATTCTGGGTGATTCCCAAGTCAGCTCCTGGGGAGGGCTCTGTGCCCCCACATCTCGCCGCCCAGTAGGGAAGGGGGAGCCAGGCTGGAGTGGTAAAGTGGAGGGAACTGGGAGCACCTCCTTCCGGGCCGAATGAGGCTTCTGGAGGCTTCCAGGTATGTTCCCGTCTCCACACACCCCTCCCTGCCCAGGGAGAGCCACCCATGGCTCCTGGTCAGGAGGGTCGCCGTGGGCGCACCGGCCCAGCACCCGTGTGGCAGGAGCGCCGGCCGAGCTGAGCCCTTGAAGCAGGACTCCAGGTTTCCCGGCCCCCACGCCCTGCTCCGCCCACAGCAGCACGGGCAGGGCCACAGACGCAGAATTCATGCAACAGGCTACCTGCCACACATACAAACCATGCAAACATCCATGCATGCACATAAACACCCACATGCCTAGAAACACACACACACACACACACACGTATATTCCCCACCCACACACAAATGCCGGCCTTCCTAATAGTGCCTGCCCACAGGCCTAGACAGGTTCTGCATGCACCCACACGCAAAGCACACGGGCCGGCTGAGAGAAGGTACAGGCGGCCAGGGAGGGGTCGGCGGCTGGCTGGCGGGGGTCAGAGAGAGCCAGAGTCACTGTCCTCTAAATGCAAACTCTAAAGCCAGCGGTGAAGGGCGTTTAACGGTCAAACTCCCTCTTCACCCCCCACCCTTTCCCCGGGCCCTGCTCAGAGCGGATGGAAGACTCTCCCAAGGAAAACGGACTCCCGGCCGGCCGCTCGGCCCTGAGCCCGGAGTCTGCCTCTCCTCCGGGGAAGGCCGGGGTGTGCCGGGGCAGGAGAGAGTCGGGGACAGAGGAGAGGGCAGCCCCAAAGCTTTGCGCCCCCCTCCCCGCGTGAGGAGAGCGGGCCTGAGGTGAGGGGGGCCCGGGACAGGGTGCCTACCTCCTTCTCGGCCTTGGCCTCCTCCACGGTCACGGTGCTGTGGTTCTTGTGCTCCTGGAACATGCACAGGTAGCAGATGCAGGTCTGGTCCGTCTGGCAGAAGAGCTCCATGGTCTTGCCGTGCAGCGGGCACTTGCGGGCCTCGAAGTCGCCGATGGGCTCCAGCAGCGGGTGGTCGCGGAAGGCGGCGCCCTCCAGGTGCGGCTTGAGGTGCAGCTCGCAGAAGGAGGCCTGGCACACCAGGCAGGACTTGACGGCCTTCTGCTTGTTGCCGATGCAGGAGTCGCACAGGACCTCCTCGGCGCCCGGCTTGGCGCGCGGCAGGCCGCCCGGGCCGGCCCGGGGGAGGCTGTGCGGGCCGGCGCCCCCGGGCTCCGCGGCGGGCGGCGCGGGCTTGCGGGGCTCCGCGAACAGCGACTTGCGCAGCTCGCCCCTCTCGGCGAAGGCGACGGGCGGCTTCCTGGCGCCCAGCTGCAGCCCGGCGTAGGGGGGCCGCCTGCCCTCCCCGCAGTCCATGCTGAAGTAGTTGGGGCCCTTGTCGTCCGCCGCCTCCGCGAACTGGACCACGGGCCGCCGCCACTCGCTCCCCAGGAACAGGGGGCTCTTCCCCTCCCCCGGCTTCGGGGCGCCGCCCGGGCCCCTGCCCTCGGCCGCCTCCCCGCCGTGCCCGTTGGCGGTCTTGGCGTCTTTACCGTCCCCCGTGGCCCCGCTCTCAGGGCTGCCCGCGGGGGCTGGCAGGCTGCGGGCGTCCCTGGCCTCCGGGCTGGTGCCCGGGCTCCGGGCGGCGTCGGCGTCCATGGCAGCGCTCGCGGTGGGTCTCAGGGCAGGGGCTGCGGCGCTGGCCTCTGGCTGGGCTGGGCACAGGCAGCAGTGGGACAGGCGGCGCGGAGCCCAGACACACCTGGGAGAGGAGGCGGGAGGGCGGGCCGGGGCACGCCCAGCCCCGCCGCCCGGCGGGCAGCTCGGCAGCGGCCACACCCGCACGCTCGCCCGCCCGCCATCCTGGAGAAGCCCTGTCTCCTCCCAGTCTGACCACTTTCTCCCGCCCAGCAACCCGTCGGGCTGCTTCCTTCTGACGCACTTTACCGGGCGCCCAGAGCCCGCGGCAGAGGCGCGGTGTCTGCCGCCCACGGACGGAGGCCTGGGAACTGGGTCGCACCAGCGGAGCCGGGCGACAGGGGGCCGGGCTCAGAGGGGACTCCCTGCGCGGCCAGCTGCTCCTCTTCAGGGAAGGATGGGTGCTAGGGGTTTTAGGTTTGGCATGAAATGGCTACCGATTATTTAACTCCTCTTGCCAACGCCCGGCTCTGCCCTCCGTACATGGCAATCCAACTACCTGCTCAGTGACGCCGCTTAGCAGACGAGGACGAGAAGGCCCTGGCCTGCGTCAACTGGGAGAGCTGGCATCTGAATCCAAGGCCCAGAGACGCTCAGGTCTGTCAGCTCAGTGCCCAGCGCCACCTGAGCGTCCCCGTCAGGCGGCCTCGGACCCGTGCCAGCAACCTGACGCAGTGCATACCGATGGCGGCCGCTCCTGTCAGAGCAGGCCGGGGCTTGCGTGGCTCTGAGAAACAGACACAGCGATGAGGAGAATGCAAGCAATGGCAGGCCAGGGGCTGGGTCGCGGGCCGGACCGGCGCTGAGGGCTCAGCTGTCTGCACAGCAGGTGTGCCGAGTGACTCAGAGAGCATCTCCCACCCCGAGCAGAGCCGGCCGCCCAGGAGAAGCCGTGAAGGGTTCTCTCTGAGGGAGCTGTTCCGGGGTGACCCTCCCCCAGCACCGGGCTCAGGACCAGGCGTGAGGAAGCCAGCAGAGGCCCCTCTCCAATTCCCTGGAGGGACACCCGCCGATTCCCGCCTGGTCCCCCCGCCCCCCCCCCCCCCCCCGGCTGTGACCGCTGCCAGCCTCCCAGCGAGAGCTTACGTGCCTCTCCCGGGCGGGGCTAGGGCCAGGCAGAGGGAGGTGCGCTGGGGGCATGTTCTGGGCGGCGTGAGCAGGGGAGTGGGTTTCCCTCCCTCCCCTTGAATCCAGGTCAAGCTCAGGAGTCCTGCCCATTGGCTCACTACGCTGAGCAGCCAATCCTCTGCAATAACATCCCTGGGAACAAGAGCCAGAGGCTGGCTCACCGGCAGCTGGGCTTTTAGGAGGTGGGGTGGTGCGGAGGCGGGGAGCTGGCTCCACAGGGGAATTCCCTCTGTTCCAGGCCCCAAGGAGCCACCGCTTGTGTGGGCTTTCTAGGAAGTTGGCTAAGAGCTCATGGGGTCTTCAAGAGTGGGGAACCCTTCCTCAAAAACTCAGTCCCCATTCCACTGGGCTTTTGCCAGAGGTGTAGAGGGAGAGGCCCCCCTCTTCTGACCGTGTCTCCCCAACTGTAAGAAGAGCCCACAGGAGAAAAGAGCAGGGAAGCCAAGAAGAAGCAGAAGAGGAAAAACAAAGGGTCTGGTTATGGATCCGCCATGAAGGGGCTGAGCCTGGGGCTGTGCTAGGAGGCCCTGTCAGGCCTCAGAGCTCAGGCACCTTCATCCTGAGTCTGGGGGATGAGTCTGAGCCTCGGGAGGAGCTGACCCACAGTAGATGCTCAGAGTTTGTGGAAGGATGAATGGATGGGTGGGTATGTGGTTGGAAGATGCATGGATGAATGGATGAATGGATGGGTGGGTGGGTGGGTGGGGGGGGGGTGGGGAGGAGGTGGGTGGGTGGGTGGATGGAAGAAATAAAACTTAGATGAATCTGAGTAGGGAAATAGATGGGTAATATATGTGAAGAATGATGGGTGGACAAAAAAATGGATGGATGGTTGGATGGATGGATGGATGGATGGACGGACGGATGGATGGATGGATGGATGGATGGATTTGTGGAAGGATGAATGAATGAATGAATGGGTGAGTGAGTGTGTGGTTGGATAGATGCATGGATGAATGGATGACTGAGTGTGGGTAGATGCATGGATAGACACATAGTTGGCAAATTGGATAAGATAACTGAGGAAAAAGAGAGGAAAAAGGAATGGAGGGAGAAAGGAAGCTGCGTGGGAAGGGAGAGGAAGGAGAAGATGGACAGATGGAAGGCGGCGAGGGCTGGCCGCGCTAGCAGTTGGCTTTGCAGTGCGCCCATTTCTCTGCCGGGACCAGCCTCCAGCAGCATTGCGAGACGTGCGGGGAGAGGCACAGCTCCTGGAGCCAGCTCACTGATCACAGAGGAGTGGTGGGTAACTGAGGGAGACAAAACTATGGATTCTGGAGAATGCCACCTCAGTGGTGCTGAGGAGGGAACCAGGTTCGAGTGACTCAGGCCGTGAAAATCAAGGCTGGTTTCTGTCTCCCACAGCCTTCCCTCTGCCCAAGCCATCAGTGAGGCTCCTCCCCTGGACCCTGTCTGTCCCACCAATACTGTCCTGATGGACACAGATTTCTTGAGCATCTCACTGTGTGCCAGGCCCTAACCAAGGGCTGATCACATGGGCATGAGTGAGTTGGAGAACTCACACTCCACCGGGAAAACAAACCAGTGAGCCAATTATTTGAATCTGGAGTAAACGGGAAGGAGGGCATTCTGTGAGGGCTGGGCTCAGAGAGGAGGAGGAGGGGGAAGAGAAGGGTGAAGGAGGAGGAGGGAGAGGAGGAGGAGGGGGAAGGGAAAGGAGGAGGAGGGAGGAGGAGAAGGAAGAGAGAGAGGAGGAGGAGGGAGAGGAGGAGGATGGGAGAAGGGGGAGAAGGAGGAAGAAGGAGGAGGAGGGGGGAGAAGGAGAAAGAAGGAGGAGGAGGGAGAAGAAGGAGGAGAAGGAGGGGGAAGGAGGATGGAGGAGAAGGAGGGAGTAAACGGGAAGGAGGAGGGAAGAAAGAGGAGGGAGGGGAGAAGGGAGAGGAGGAGGGGGAGGAGGGAGGAGGAGGAGGTAGGGAGAAGGAGGAGGGGGAGGGAGGAGGGGGGATGTGGAGAAGGAGGAAGGAGGGGGAAGAAGAGGGAAGAGGAGGAGGGAGGAGGGAGGAGGGAGGAGAAGGAGGGAGGAGGGAGAAGGGGGAGGAGGAGGAGGAGCAGAGATGTGCTAAGAGGCCTCCCGCCAGGCTGGTGGAGGCTCACTCCCAGCCAGACGGAGGGGACCTGGGCGAGCTCAGCTGATGTGTAAGTGATTGGACGCTGGGTGACTGGCCTTTGATCCTCCTGGAGGCCCCGACCCTCCCGCCTTGGGGACCCAATCCTTCCAATCCCTGGCGGGAGGCGGAGGCTCCGGGACGGTGTCGGGGAAGCCCTGCTCTTTGGGACGGATGGAGCCTCACACCCCACCCTCCCATGGCCCAGCCCTGCAGAGCTGGGATTCTGCCCGCTCAGGACGAGGGCTGAGCTGGCACAGAGCGCCATCCGTGGGAAACGACGGCCCAGAGCTGCCCAGGCCTCACCCCCCGGCCGGGTGCCACGCAGGCCCAGCACACCGTCCATCCCGGGCCTGCCCCCGCCACACCCCGGGCGCGGCTCCGCCAGCAGAACCCGCGGCCCACAGACCGTGCCACTGCCACCTGGCAGAGGGGACGAGTGCCTCCGCCCGCCCCCTCCCTCTGAGGGCCGGCCGAGGGGCCTCTTCCACCTTTAAGAATGATTTTGCTGATTGCAGAGAGGAGGGAGAGGGAGAGAGAGAAGCATCAGTGATGAGAGAACCACGGGTCAGCTGTCTCCTGCGGCCCCCACGGACCCCTGAACTGTGACCTCCTGGTTCCACCGCCGAGCCAGGCCAGGGGGCTTGTATGATGTAACTGTGTGCCTGCTTGTGCCTGGGCTAGTCAACGCTCAGCGTCCGCTGAGAGGAGCCAAGCGACAAAGAAAGAAGAGAGAGCAGGGGAGGCCTCGGGGAGGGGGGCGGGCCAGACCGGTGCCCCTCAGAGGCCGCTGAGTGGGCGGGAGCAGCCCTGCGCGCAGGGCCCGTCAGGCCGTCAGGCGGGGCTGCAGCAGGACTGAAGGCTGGCTGGCGCCATCCTGCCTTTGCCCAGGAAGTGAAGACCATGGGGCAGCACGCCAGTCACACACCAGCCAGTGAGGTAGTGACGCACTCCCGCGCCCAGCACGTCCCCGACACGGAGCGAGAGCGACGGAGGTGCCCCTCCTCCCAGCCTCCCCGAAGGAAGAGGCCCCTGTGAAGCCCGTGGGGGTGCAGCCAGGCCGCGGCGCCCCAGGAGGCCAGTGCTCCTCCGGCTGTCAGAGCCTGAGGCACAGAGGCTGGGCCCGGTCACCGGATCAGTTAGCGGCCACAGGGCTGTGAATGTGACATAACCAGACGCAAGAAGTCTCCTTCCAGCCCTGGCGGTGATTCTGGCGACGGGAGCCGGGCCCAGTACTCCAAGGTTGCGGGTTCGATCCTGGTCAGGGTGCGTGCAAGAAGCAACCAATGGTGCACAACAGCAAATCGAGCCCCTCACTCTCTCTAAAATCTTTCAGTAAATACGTTGGTGTTTTTACTGCCGATGTGGCTCAGGGGCTGAGCGTCAACCTACGAAGCAGGAAGTCAGGGTTCGATTCCCAGTGTGGGGCGTGCAGGAGGCAGCTGATCCATGATTCTCTCTCATCACTGATGTTTCTATCTCTCTCCCTCCTTCTCTGAAATCAATAAAAAATATTTTAACATAAATAAAAAAGTTGGAAAAAGAAAACAAAGTCTCCTAGGCTCCTAAACTCCGAGCCAAGCATGCTGACCGGCTTCATAACGGACTGACCTTTGTGACTTCAAGTGCTTCTGTGTGTTCCTGTCTCCATCCCAGGAATTTCATTCCAGCCTGTGTCCCCGTCCCCGACTGCCTCCCCCACCCCAG